CCTATTCCGCCGCCTGTCCAAATGTCCCCCACTTGATCTACGACAGTCCCCAGCACCGGGACGCCAATTCATAAGATAAAAAAGCGTCGGATCGTTAGATCGACGTACGGTTAATTTTCCGTCAAAACTTTTACCTTTGGCGAATTTTGAGTTTCAGCAAAGGAATTCCTGAGCTTAGAATAACAAATGCTTGAAGCAGCTACTTTGTTACGAAATTTTACCTCGCTCTTTACAGTGAGGTGCTTATTTAAGTTCTGCGATAATGAAGGAACTAATTAATGAATTTGATAATCAAAGCGAAAGTATGAACCGGATATACACCGGCGTCGTGTAGCTTAATCAAGCGTAGCTCGCAAACTTATCTACAATTTATTGAATGAAGACGAGCAATAGCAATGAGTTTAATTAGGTTTTATACACAAAATGATTAAGTTTGGTAATTGAATTTGCCGTAGACTATCGCAATTTTGTAAGTAGTAGTTCTGATTCTTAATTGCTTTGGTTGCCTCAAACTGCAAGATTTGCATTCCTTTTACTTCTGACATAGGACTACTGGTGCATTAAAGATCTTCTGTCCTCCAGACAATAGGAAGTCGCCTTTGGATGTAGCGGGAATTCGATGGGTAAAATATCCGGAACTAATGTTTATCTTATCCTGCTTGGAAGCAGGTTTAGAGACACCTTTAAATGAGGAACTTCGGTCCATACTTGTAAAAGGGAAATGTAGTAATAGTAAACCGGATAGGTGCCACTTTATCTTTAGTAAATGTCAAAAGAGAGGGGAAAACAAGGCCGACTAAGAGATCCTTGTTCTGCTCTTACTAAGCTAAAGAAATAAAATACTTCATAGGGGTTGCACATAAACAGTAATTGACGATCACTGTTATAGATCTGCTATTTCAATGTTTGAATTTATATTAACTTTTAGTAAAAAGGATCAACACGTAGTCGGAGAAAGTATTAATATCCAAAACAGGATTCCGCAAAAACAACGGAGGTATAATCGTTAAATGAAACTTAAGCAAATGTAATAATTACAATTCGATTGTATCGATAACCAGTATGTAAACAAACGTTAATTAAGGAATGGACGAAACTAACAAAATTACCTTTTGAACTACAAGTGGCAACGGCTTGGCTGAGCTCAAGAAAGGCGCAGACCATAATACAACAAACAAATAAAAGGGCTAAGAGGCAGTGAATCGCGATGCACATAAAGTATTGCGAAATAGCATGACCTAACGTCTGACAAAAATTCGGTAAATCGGCTATTAAACTGTAAGGAATACTCAAAACAAATCAATAATTCCAATGACACTAGTAAAAGCAAAAGTTTGATCGACCACGGGGTTCTCGTACAATATCAAGTATGAAAGCATAAGGGTGACGTTAAATTCAAGAAGAAGAATGTAAGAGCAATGCAAATAAACTATGAGCAAGTTATTCGGAGAAAAAACAAATAACGTGACTAAAATTTGTAAATATCGGCTCACAAAACCACGGTATCGGTATAACACAGCTAATATGAAGGATACAATGTAATCGAACTAACAGAAATAAATTATCGAAGTAACAAAGTATCAAAAAAAAATCGGTTGTCGGACGGTACACTCTTCGCAGCAAGTAGCGTAGTAAAATCGGGTATATTGGAGCAATTTACAACGGTAATGTTTCCCAAGGTTTCGTAAATAATAATAATATAAATAGCGGCTTTATTTTTTTTTTTTCGTACAGAGAATCATAAACATTACAGAAAAGAAAAAAAGCTGTAAACAGTAACACTAACGAAAACAAAAAAAATCACGGTGGTCTGATCTTCCACTCAACATTGTAGTGTAAAGATCTCGTATTTGGGGTTATAGGAGCTATCTTGAAATCATCAGGTACACATTTCGAGTAGGTCATTTAGGTAGCCAGTCAGTTTCACTGAAATGGTGGGTAATTCTGAAACGTCGGTAATGTAAAAACATCCATCGCGTCCTTCGACACTGTCAATCTTCCTAAATTGGCGGGTCCAAGTAAAAATTGCAATTTCGTCCACGTACTGCGTGAGTCGCAAGTAAAATTCAGGTAGGTACAAGGTAAAAGGTAATCCAAAAGAGATAACGATGAGAGAAAACTCAAAAACTTTGAGTGAAGGTTAAAAATCCCTAAAAAACCACACCTAATGAGAAGAAATGCTGCATGATTTATTTATTAATTTATTAATTTATTAATTTATTTATTTATTTATTTATTTATTTATTTATTTATTTATTTATTTATTTATTTATTTATTTATTTATTGATTTATTTATTTATTTATTTATTATTCCTCTCTTGTAACATACCTCGTATTGTTTAAATGCAAAACAGATCCGTGAAACGATTCAATGGAGCCACAGTCACAGACGTGAAGAGGAAGAAACAACCACTCCAAAGATAATATGGTAAAGCCAAAACAATAAGACCTTTTAAGTTAAACGAGAAGTCAGAGAAGTGATGGCGTTCCCAAACGAAAATTTGCATCTAATTAGTTCGAAGGTAGAAACTTCACTACCTAATGAGGAATATAACGCGCAAGCTTAGAATGCAGCGCACTATAAAATACCATGTGCAATTTGAAATCAACACACGACGTGATCGGCCAGCTAGCTCCGTTAGCCAAATAGTTAACAGCGTAGAGAGATATGCTCATTACTCAGGGTAGTAGGTACGTGAATTAAAAACATTGACAACAAATTATTATAAAAGGTTCCAATTAAATTCCCGCCACTAATACTTACTGGTGCTTCGATTCAAGTCTTTCGGGCGCAACCTAATTTTATCTGCAGCCACCGGAATTAGGAAAGGTAGCTTCAATATAAAAAGAGTCAACAATTGACCCACAAGAAAAATTATTGTTTATTAACCAAAGAGTATGCAAAATACAAAAAAAAGAAATCTTTCCATGTACTATTAACACAAAAATTAACCCACCAACAACCCCTGAAGTTATGTAACACCTCGTACCGCTAAGTAACAAGTATAATAGAAATTAAAATTGAAATGATGTACTATAAATAATCGGTAGCTTGAGGTGTTGCAGTGAATCGTAGTAACGAGCTCTTTACCTTACAAGTGATTACTTCTCTAGAGTAATTCGTATTTGATAGTTAAACAGTCCTAACGATCAAGCATACTAATTACACGTAAAATTTCCACTTACATATGTGGGGTGAAATAAACTGTTCATAGATATTTAGGTCTTAACAACAAAAAAAGAAAAAAAAGGTTGAAGGTACGTCACCGCTAACGATAAATTGTTTCGGCAATTCCACAGGTTCCTGGTGTAACTAAAAATAACTCCTACGGAGGTAACAAAGCTTGTGCTCTAGGTATATTTCTCTCAGAATCTACGTTCGGCTGCCCTTAAGATCTTAATGATTCTATGGGACGTTTTACAGCACACTCATCTACAGTAGGTCGATTATTCCCCCGGATTCAGCTCAATAGTAACTCCCTTGCAAAGACTCTAAAAAGTAACCTAATTACGACTACGTTATAACCCACAATAATGCTAACCTCTTATTCAGAAAGTACACAAAAAATTTACAATATGGTCGGTATTTGTTCCCCTACAATAGAAAAAAGAACATCGGTAACCTCAATTCGTGCACAAGAAAACGCTTACGATTTGGAATGCTTGAGTTTTCCGTATTAAAAGTCCATTTCGGGAAAAATTGTAACCGACCGTCCAAAAACAAATTGTTGGCACAAGGGGTAATCGATTTATTAAAGATACTTCCGCTAAGTATTAAATCAATTCGACCATTGGAAAATATATCAAACACCCAAATTCGGGAATTTAACACGACCGACTCTATTGCAGGTTGCTGGAAAACGAATAGTAGAGCAGTATTTATTACATGACCATATAAGGTAATGTAATGGTTAACATAAAAAAAGCAAAACAAACTAAATGTCCTCCCTGATGTCCTCTAACGACAAGAAGACAAGTTAAATCGGAGAGGCAACCACAGAAATGCAAAAGTAACTAGAAATTGGTGGCATTCAATGACGAGAAAATTTAGAAAATATACAGGTGGAAATTGAAATATGGACATAAATGTTAATATTATTTTAAAACTGTTACAGGAAGAGAACTATAACAACTACGCGTAACCCGGAAGAAAAGATGGGATAGAATTAAGTGCAGACAGATACAAAGCGTGCACTCTAGCAACAAGACAAAGATGTAAATAAGAGGAAATCTCTAACACTCGAAGGACCTCTAACGCCAAAAGAAAGAACTAAGACTAAGACAATAAGAAATCTACTGCAGAAATTAACTTACGTCTAAACTAGTGAATTACAAAGAAGTGACTCTAAGGAATAATAATAATAATAATATAATAATAATAATCTTTATTTTGCTATACCTCCTAACAACTAAAACAAAACATTGTTTGGCAACAGACCCATTCTCATGGTTCATAGACCGTCTTAGGAGTTGGTTCTTAAAGAAACATAGGTATCCAAATAAATAACAAAAAAAGGAAACTGCTACATCACTGTTTTTGCCATATTTAGCAAGAATAAAAAATTCAAACTTAAGCAAAGTTTTTAACTTTTAAACATTGCCAAAAATGCAACATACTTTCTTATGCTTCTCTGCAATACAACATAAAATTAACTGAATTTGCGCTATTGACATAATCTTTCAATTCATAATTACTTAACAAATTATTATTGGAAAAATGCATACTTATCTAAATTCTTATACAATTGGGCGAACTGCAATAAAATCGTTTACATTTTCCTTTCTGTGACCTAAATTATATTATAATTTGCTTATTGTAACAATATTTGTTTAAAATTACATTTTAGGCAAATTGGCATTACAAAAAAAAAATAAATGTTTGGACTGGATTGATATTACCATGACATAGTAGTTCACGATTGTTCCAAAGTAACACGATTTCACCACAGTACCGTCACTTGGCCTCCCATATTTCACAAATTTAACTGTTGGCACAAAATCTCGCTTCGGCGGTACATATACTAAAATTGGAACGATACAGAGAAGATTAGCATGGCCCCTGCGCAAGGATGACTCTAAGGAATACTAAATATACACTACGAGTGAAAAGAATTTAAATAATAATACGAATCGATGATTACTCCAAACCGGTAATATTAATTGGTGAAATAAAATAAATAACGTTCCAAATGATAAATTGCATGTAGGTGCATAAGTATAAATTAGAAATAGCTTTTGTTTTGACATCACCAATGGATATATTTCTTGCAGACGTCTCAATCGCCCTTTGTGACTACTCTCTTCCGACAATCCGTTGTTGAGGTATAAGGGAATATACCCTATCACGATAAGAGATCGAGGAGGGCTATGGTTGGTAAAAATTAATTCCTTTCGTTGAGACCTTTCATTAGATTACCATGATAAAACTAATTTTTTTAATTCTTAGAAAATGCGTTAAAAAAATCATTATACTCTCAAATTTGAAGACAAAATGGATATTCTCAGTTGAAATTTTGCTAAAGTCAATTTTAGATTAAAACACGCAATTTAAAAGTTTCATTACGTAGGTACAGTTTGGTTTTCCCTTTTAATTACATCGAAAAGTTACAAAATCGTAAAGTAATAACATAAATCATAATATACGTCTTCAGGCCAAAAATGTGTTTGTTAAAAGCGTTAACTGTGGTTATAAGAAAATGAGGGTAATTCGTAAATTGATGAATGCGAAGCTGCGCAGTTCAAATTGACAAACAAAATGGATAGCGCAATTAAACAGTTAATCGAATGATTGATGCAATGGGTGGAATCGAGGAGGGAGGAGAGTATTGAATATTAGGAGCAGGCAGCGTATACACGCGGAAGGGATCGAAGAGTGTGAGGAGATATTGAATTATGACAACTCACAATGAAGCTTTCAAATTAGTTCATGGAGCACTTTGATGTGTTTTAGAAACCATAACGTACTATATTCTGTTCGAGAGCGTATTGGACAATGTTAGTAATTAATACTATCGCAATGTAGTTTGAATGACAGCGCCGAGTTTATAATGCTACCTCTCTAATTTCGCAACCCGAATCGTTTCAATATACACTCTCAACTAAATAATAACACACCGAGTCCATTAGAATTACAAGAAATTACCATTTAAGGGGCCGAGTCGAAGCAACTCACGCGATAACTCAAGTTCGCTCTCTTAATGGCTTAACTTAATATGAGGTAATTGAATCTTCTACATCTTTACCACAATTTACACAATCTTATACATAAAGAAATACGCTAAAATCACATATTTCTTTTGGTGTCTCAACTAAAACTCCACCCCCAAATAAGTTTGTCAAATATCAAATACATTTACAGCCAAAAATGTGTGTTTGTCCGCTGTTCGGAATACTTTTAACGTGGATAACTTTTGTTTACACATAAGATTATAATTATACAGGGTCGCTGATAAAGATGTAACCAAAGCTCTCGGGCTCAAACCGTTTGAGATATTCACGATTCACATTAACAGTAGAGGCGCTGGTGTAATTTACAAATGGCGAGTGTAGGTGGGAGCGGTTTCTAAACTAGGGGTTATTTTAGCAGGTTTTTAAGTGACATTATACTAATTTGAAAGTGAAGTGACTTTATGCTACCGTTTTTAGACTTAAAAATATAACCCCTTAATCCTATTCTACGTGCAAAATGCAAAGCCTTTTTATTAAGAACTCGAAGCTGTCTTGAATTAACTTGAACACGCAATTAACTTAATTTACTTTCTATCATCGGGTCATGAGACAATCACGCATTCGGAAATTTCTCCCTGTTTTCAATTCGTTTCGTGCTCGTCCACATTAACATCATAACCTCTCTTCCACGGGCTGATCTCTACTAGAAGGATCGGGGCCTAACCTCTCAAGGCCACCACCGTCAATGGTCAATGGAGCTCATGGGCCACTCCGGTGCTTCCTGACTCGAAGCGCTCCTCATCGTTCTGCATATCGGTAGCGTTTCCAACCAGAACCTCCGCACTTTCTCAGCTGAGCTTGTTTACCGCCAGACCCTTCGCTTACCTGGAGAATTTGGGGTTTGGCCCTCTGGTCCTGAGCATCAAGAGGATGCCACAAGCTATGTCGTACGCCTGCGACAACATATGGCTGATCTACGTCTTGTACCTGCCTCTCGCTATGGCAACCCACAAACATAAGAAGCAATATTGTAATTCATGAAAGCAAAAATCTTCTTGTTTACATTCATTGGTCGAAGTTTGTACCCGTTTTGACCCACAAAACCAACTGATTATCATACAGAATTATGGAATGAAATTCTGGATAGAGTTGACGCTTCAAATGAAGGAATAGGTAATTACTTTACGTGTATGATTATTTTTCTATCGTAATACTCATCCACCCACTGAAGAAGAGAAACTCGGAGTTCTTTGTCGGAATATATCTCCTTATCACATTCGGGGTCTAGGTCCAAAAAATTACAATAAATTCCACCAATTATTGGGGTTTTGCAAAAAAGCTGTCATCGGCGTTTCGCAGAAATCCTTCAGCCAATTATCTTGAAGATGATCTGGTTTGTCTGTTACAGGAGAAATTGTTAAAAACCCTAACATCACCCAAAATGTTTCGTCAGTTCATACCAATTACCTTTGCGTTGTCAAGGAACGCAATGGATGTTTTTGTTATAGATGTGGACAACATGGCGCAACCCGATATATATGTATCACTTGTAAGGGAAACCAAGAGGTCGATGGTAAGCCGGACGCGAATATTTCATTTTATACTGGCTAACTCAACTTGGAAGGACTATCTGAATATCAATAGTATAGAATGATCCACGTCTTTAATTAGATGTCGATGTTAACGGAGTACCGTTTAGATGTTTGTTAGATTCCGGGGCTAGCCAAACCGTTGCGGGAGAGATGGGATGGGAAAAACGTGAGCATTTGAGCCCACTTATTAAAAGTTACAAATGGACATGGTATACAATTACCGGTTAAACTGAATACTAGATTAAAACAAATTAAAGCTTTAGTTGTTTCTTAGATTACCTACGAGTTAATTAGGGATAGACTTGTGGATAGATATCGATATTTTGCCTATGGCACTATTTTAGAATCATGTTTTTGATACCCATCCTTGTCTATTTTCTTTGCTTTACGACAAGCATGTATTTTTACCCTTTCTATACATTTTTTGTCATTATTCATATTAGTGGAAAGAAAATTATATCTCTACATTAGTGTCTTACTTCCAGTAGTCACAGTCTCAATTTTGCAGACCAACTTCGACGTCCAATTTGAAAAAATACCCTTCATACATGGTGCCCATTATGTATGAAATATAGTATACATATATCTCGGTAAATACTATCCTTGCCAGGGATCTGTGCCCCTGCGTCATCATTTATATTTTATGGTGTAATATGAAAAAAGCTAGTCAAATTATGTCCGTAATAATTATATGTATAATATCCTTGAATGATAATGTATGCTCAGAGATGGCGGCAGCGGCGCTAAAAATCTTATTGACATTACGAAGTTTTGTTATGCTGTGAATTATCTGACGAATTTGTAAAGCGCAATTAATGGTCGGCAAAATATCTTAATCTGCGCCTAATTTGTAAATATCCAAGAAATTGCCTTACTCTAATTAAACTAATAATCAAAACAGTGTCATGTTTTATGCAACGCTGATGTAAGAAACAACTACAATTTTACTATAATTGATAGTTTAAAAATGAATCTTGTAGAGTTTGGGCAGTAAGAAGTGAAATTTCAAGCACCCAAATCAGTTGATTGACTCATCGAGTGTAATTTCTTGATATGCCCAGTAAAATCTGTAGAAGGCTCAAGAATTAAAAAAAAATCTCATGTCAGTACATGTATATTGTTACAATATTATTAATACATCAGTGTGTTAATAACATTTCAGTAATAAACTAATCCGTATCCGAATCGTAATCTGAACTTTCGGAGCAATTACCAATATTAATTATCATTTCGTTTACAGTGAAATCTAATACTTCTTCTCGTTTATACCACGCCTTTATAACGTCTTCTGTGTGTCGCACACAATTGGCCCAAAACGTTTCGTCACATTGTTGCAGTGCCTCGTTCCACATAGAAATTACACTGTGGTCACTGTAGCCGTCTCGTCCAATATGTTTATCGTAATAACTTTTAGCATGTGCCCACACCAACTCGATAGCATTAAATTCGCAGTGGTAGGGTGGTAATCGTAAAACATCATGTCCATGGTTCCTAATGATGTTGTCGACCTCATATTGTTTTTGGATTCCTAACGATTTTATAAATGAATACAGCTCGGGCTTGAAGAGTGTAGAATCAAAAGGAATATTTCTTCTGGTCAACCCAGCAACCATATCACCTTTAGTCCAAGACGATGTGGGCAGTTTCTCTAATGTAGAGTGGTATGGTGCATTATCGATGACAATTAACGAAGGCTCTTCCAAGTTGTTTAACAGATTATTGATAAGCCATTTCTTAAAGAGATCTCCATTCATTTCCCCATGATAGTCCTCTTTCAACGACTTCGAGACAAATAAAAGAGAAGCGTTCTGTATAAACCCGGTGCTTGTACCAGCATGGACAATAATAAATCTTTTCCCATCGTAACCTGCAGGTTTTCGCACACTTTTTAAATCTTCATCTTGCCATGACTTTCCGGGGTTTCCCTTTGAATAAATCCATGTCTCATCCATGAACACAATTGGTCTTCGACTAGATGAACGTATCTCCTGCATATATTGTCTAAGAAACTTGGTTCGCATTTCTGCAATGTTCGGCTTTTCTATCAATGCCCTACGATTGGAGTCTTTTTTGAATTTAAATCCAAGGGCATGTACCGCACGATTTAAACTTCTGTCACTTAATAATACATGGGAGTTTTTGATTTCAGCATTTAACTCTGCCACCGTGACATGCTTCTTTGTAAATAATTAGATACATTTTAAAAATGAACTAAGAGTCAAGTATTATAATGAACTCACTTTGTGCATACATGTTATACAATGCATTCCGAATGCACATTTTTGATGTTTCCGGCAGATCCTCAGATTTTGGTTTGGCACGTGGTCGTTTTTTCCCAGGACTT